TGTGTCTGTGTTTGTGTGTGTGTGTGTGTGTTCTGTTTATGTCTGTGTGTGTGTCTTTGTTGTGTGTGTCTGTGTTGTGTGTGTCTGCGTTTGTGTGTCTGTGTTGTGTGTGTGTGTCTGTGTGTGTGTATGTGTGTGTGTGAACAATCTCACACAGTTAAAATTACCCTTGATCTTGATTGTGTCTATATTACCTGTCTCATAGTGCACCTTTCTATGGTAGGCAACATTTACCTGTCTCATAGTGCACCTTTCTATGGTAGGCAACATTTACCTGTCCCCGTAGAATTATGCAAATTTAGATGGCCAAATTATGAAAAAAAAGCCAAATTATGCAAAAATTATGCAAGTTACTGTAATACCATTCGCAACATGTTTTTCACTTTTTCAACACCAATTTTCATGATTTTCATGCATTATGTACAGAAAATTTTTTAACTATATCAGTATCAGTAATTTGTTGTGTATTTGGAAAGAAAACAATACACATCAGTAAGAAAAAAAACAACCAAAAAACATATTCTCTGTAACTTTTCAGCTGTCTCACAGTGCACCTTTCTATGGTAGTCTCACAGTCCACCTTTCTATGGTAGAGAACATTTACCTGTCTCACAGTCCACCTTTCTATGGTAGAGAACATTTACCTGTCTCACAGTGCACCTTTCTATGGTAGAGAACATCTACCTGTGTTGAGAAAGGACCAAATGAGACAGGAAAAGACAGATGTTCCCCCCCCCCTCCCCTCCCCCCTCAAGGTTAACTCGACGTTTTTGTCCACAGAAATCTCCTGTCTGGCCAAGGGGTCACGGCTAGGCTACTCCTCCCCCACCACGCTGACCGATAAGGTGAGAGGTTGTTTGTGGGTGAGGGGTGAGAGGTTGTTTGTGGGTGAGAGGTGAGAGGTTGTTTGTGGGTGAGAGGTGAGAGGTTGTGTGTGAGAGGTTGTTTGTGTTTAAGGGGTGAGAGGTGAGAGCTTGTTTGTGGGTGAGGGGTGAGAGGTTGTGTGTGAGTGGTGAAAGGTTGTTTGTGGGTGAGGGGTGAGAAGTTGTTTGTGGGTGAGGGGTGAGAGGTTGTTTGTGGGTGAGGGGTGAGAAGTTGTTTGTGTGTGAGGGTTTGTTTGTGTGTTAGGGGTGAGAGGTTGTTTGTGTGTGAGAGGTGAGAGGTTGTTTGTGTGTGTGAGGGGTGAGAGGTTGTTTGTGTGTGAGGGGTGAAAGGTTGTTTGTGTGTGAGGGGTGAGAGGTGAGAGCTTGTTTGTGTGTTAGGGGTGAAAGGTTGTTTGTGTGTTAGGGGTGAGAGGTTGTTTGTGTGTGTGAGGGGTGAGAGGTTGTTTGTGTGTGAGGGTGAGAGGTTGTTTGTGTGTGAGGGTGAGAGGTTGTTTGTTTGAGAGGGGTGAGAAGTTGTTTGTGTGTGTGAGGGGTGAGAGGTTGTTTGTGTGTGAAGGGTGAAAGGTTGTTCGAAATGTAAAACGGTTGTTGTGTCAAAGGTAACCAGGTTGTTCTGTCCGTGTTCTCCTCCCCAGTCGACCAAAATCAAGAAAGGAAGCCAGGGTGATGTGTCGGTGCTGAGGCCAACGCTGATGGCTGGAGTGCCGGTGAGTCATGACACACGGGCCGAGGAATGTGCTACATCTTCTGGTCTTAGTTCCCATTCTCATTCCTATTTTGATGAATGTGCGATAGTCAGGTTCCCCTAATGATGGGCGGGTTTTTGCCCGGGGTCAGGGTCCGGTGTTGTACGGATGTTCCCCGCCCAGGGTCAGGTGTTGTACGGATGTTCCCCGCCCAGGGTCAGGTGTTATACGGATGTTCCCGGCCCAGGGTCAGGGTCAGGTGTTGTACAGATGTTCCCCACCCAGGGTCAGGTGTTGTACGGATGTTCCCCACCCAGGGTCAGGGTCTGGTGTTGTACGGATGTTCCCCGCCGAGGGTCAGGGTCAGGTATTGTACGGATTTCCCCCGCTCAGGGTCAGGGTCTGGTGTTGTACAGATGTTCCCCACCCGGGGTCAGGGTCTGATGTTGTACGGATGTTCCCCGCCCAGGGTTAGGGGTCAGGTGTTGTACGGATGTTCCTCGCCCAGGGTCAGGGTCAGGTGTTGTATGGATGTTCCCCGCTCAGGGTCAGGTGTTGTGGGCTGGCCAAACTACACGCCGTGTAGGGGAAAGTGTTGACCGTTGTGGCCAGGTAATCACTCAGGTAATCACGGATGTTTTGGATCTGTCCTCAGGTAATCATGGACCGGATCTACAAGAACGTGTGGGAGAAGATCAACGGCGGCTCTCTCATGGAGCGCGTGTTGTTCCGGTTCGCCTACGAGTACAAGCTGACACATCTGGTGCAGGGATACGACACGCCGGTGTTGAACAA